AAAAAAGAGTTGAATTGCAAAGAACAACTTTCTCATGATATGAAAACAATTCTGCGCTTATTTTGAAAAAATTAGTGAAATCTCTTTAAAAAACTAAAACAAATGTTTTTATAAAAAATCTGCATCAAGAAATTTTGTTTGGTTTTTACTGGAAAGCTTAAACTTTAAAAAAATAAAAATAAATGAAAAAGAAAGCCAAGTCAGGAATGTCAAATAAATGAGTATAGTATAAGATCAGATTTCTATAAGAAAAATAGTTCTCAATAGAAAAAGAATTTTTTTAAAATTCCCCATAAAATAAAAAATCAGCAGGAGCAGGACTAACATTCTTGGCACGGATCAGCAGATGGAGGATTAGATTCATATAGACAGTGAGTAGAAAGAATCCGCGCCAAGACCAACCAAACAAAATTTCTTGGTGCAGATTTTTTATAAAAACTTTTTTTTTTGTTTTTTAGGGAGTTAGGCTGAAATGACGGCGATTCATAAGATCATCTATGAGCCTCAATTCAGGTCTAATCGAGGCCTTGAGTATTCAGGCTGAGTACATCAAGGCTCATCCAGGGCTTAACCAGTCCTCAAGAATAAAATCTACTTTTAATTAATTTCCGTAATTCTTGGAATAATGGTCAACAATTAATGATGGCGAAAACGTTGTTATTGCTTCCACAAAGATAGTTCTAGTTATAAACATCTATCGCATCATCCAAGCTAACCCCAAACCAGACTTTTGCGGCAGCCCTTTGAGCACAAGATTACATAGTTACATTTATCTTCATCTGCAACGAATTGACAAATGAATTTTGAACTCATTAATACGTCAAATCTATTTTGTTTATTCAATTCGTAAGAAGTTTATTTATGCATAAATGAAAGAATTCTACGTTGTATTTTTATACTCTCGAAAAATTTCTCGTCGTAAGAAGTTTCAGATGGCCTAGTGGAAACGCGCTGGACCGCGAATCAGAAGGACCGCGGATCCAATCCCTCGGGGTAGGAGCAATTTTTCGAGTGTTCAATTTCATTTTATTTCGATTACAAATGTGCGGATAATTATTGAGTACAAATAGTTAATAAAAAATAATAATTATAACATTTTCCTCAATTCGGATTTTGACCAATCAGAGTGCAGTATTCGGGGTCACGTGACACGTTTCACACTGATAATTTCCCCGGCTGGATGGAAATTATGAAACTGATCAGAGTTCTCTCGTTGCTATGCAACAAAACATTCGGGAAATATCCGATAATTTTGAAGGTTTTTGGAGTATTATACACTGAGAAAAAAAAATTCTAAGAAATAGAAATTCTATGATTGATCCAAATCGTTCATCGATTGAATAGTCGCAAAAGAAAATGCTATTGTAAGAAACAAATATCGATTTAATTTTAATGTTTTCGATTGAAAAGAATGAGATCAGTTGTCTAAACTTTTTTTTTGTTGCTATCTACTTTTCAGTACATACAAAGCAATGTCTGTATTATCAGATATCTTCTTCGAATAAAGCATATAATTATCCAATTTATCAGCGTCACGATATCCCGCAAAAGAATATCTATTCGATTGAAAGCAGAATTCATAGATGCAATAAAATATTCATTTGGCCTATGAGGAACATATTGTTGGATACTCATTGATGCGAGACTTTCGCGAAGCGCAGTTTCTTGTTTACGACAAACGCAATTCTTCATCATTTGAACTGATTATTTTTCCATTGCAATTGTGAAAAAAAAATTATTTGCGCCAAATCCGAAGCGTTTGAACTAAATCAAAATTGAATTGTATGAAATCGATTTTGTCGCGAAAACAAGTATTTTCTAAATTCGATAGAATAAACAAAATATACTATACTATAACAAAATCGATTTCATACAATCCAATTTTGGTTTAGTTCAAATCGATATTTGTGTCTTACAATAGCATTTTCTTTTGCGACTATTCAATCGATGAACGATTTGGATCAATCATAGAATTTCTATTGCTTAGAAATTTTTTTTCTCAGTGTAGCTGACAATTTTTTAAAATCCACCGTGAATTAATTAATCATTACAATTAACGCTTATCGGGTTATCGACTGTTACTAACGGTACTACCACGGCCTTTTTTATGGAGTTCTCGAAATAGACAGAAAGGCTAGTAAACGAATCACAAATCTTTCAAACAAATACCTATAAATAATAATATGATTAGTTAAAAAGAAGCGCGATTGAGCCTTTAAAATGTTCTAATTCATAGTTTGGATCAAGCCTTGGTATCAAGCCTTATTCGAGCCTTAGAAATTGGGTCTCAAATCAGGTTATCATTTTGGGGCTGAATAATTACTGATTCAAGTTTGGGCCCCAGCCCTGATTGAGAATTTTCAAACCTTAGTTCAGGGCTTGATGAGCCTTGTTTCCATCGTCCTACCCGGGTAACTCCTAAGTTATTTGGGTTTGTGTTGAATCGTCTGCCTACGGTACAGACCTGAAGTAGCGAATGTCATATCTATTTTATCGACAGAAAGAACGGTTTTATATACTCCCATCCATTATCCAGATTGCGACTGAAATGTATCCACTTGTCATTGAAATAATTAATGCTACAAACCTTCAACAACGTGACCTCGCAATGATAAGAACCGTACGTTTTTTATTTCAAGTTGGCCATTACATCCAACTCTCTTTCTCTACAATAAATTTATTCATATTTGTCTGACTCGATTCTCCCGTTCGCCCCTGATAAAAAAGAAACTAATTGAATACTAACAAACAAGAGGGCTGACTATAAATTCTACAGTAAACAGATACAGCAATGATAATTGGCAGTATTTTACGATCGACATGTGAAAATAAAACCCGTGACCAGAAGAATGGAAGCGGCTTCGATACGGTGCCTTCCCAGGAACTGCATTCTCCCAAGTCCTCTACTTTGTGGCACAGTGTGGCGTGAGGACGTCACGTGCAAATTGAGATGTTTACAACGGCTCGGAGGGAGGCTACGTGACGAAGATGCAAATGGCCAGCTCCACCTCAATGATTAAGGAGCAAATCACCGGGGGACCTTGAAACTTGAATCAATGGTGAGTAATAATCGTATATTAAGAGACAGAGAAACAGAATAGTAGAGATCAAGCTAGAGAGAAGAAAACGTGAACGTCTAAGCAACACAAAACTCTTTAGATGTTTTTGTTTTTTTAGGAGCGAAAGAGATTTAGCTCTTCCTTGGATTTATAGGAGTTTTATTTAGATTTTAGATGAATATAATCTTCTATTCCAAGATAAGAACAGAAAGAAAGTGGAGTTATATGAGGGAAGCAAGTCGTTCTATTCGTCCACTGCATATAAAATTTGAATTGTGTCGAAAGAACATCGATTGATTATTGTAATTATTGAATAATTTTGATAATTAGTCATGAGAGAAATCATCAGATTTATTTTGTAGGTAAAAAAATTTCTTCCCAGATTATGAGATTATTCCACTGAGAGAAAAACCAAGTTCTCAAGCAAGTCTTGTTTTAGTCAACAAAATCGTTAGTTGAAAATTAGTAAAAAAAATCATTGTTTGGTTCGAATTTGAAAGTCTCAAACATGAATAATTGTTCTGCTTTCAACAACTGTGAAACATTTGGCTCAATAGGCGGATAATTCATAGAAGACTTTGCCTTTTCAGGATAAAGATATATTTTAAAGAGGCAAGTGTATCAAGAAATATTTTGTCCCTAAGTTACAAGATTACTATCATATCATTATTATTATTTCATTTAAAAATTAATTTGTTGTCTGTGACTATTGAATAATCGAAACGATAAACTACTATCTCTCGTTTCATATGAAACGAGCGTTTGCTGGGAGCAAAATACTCCAGTTTACCGAAATTTCGGGGACAATCATTGAGATCTTCATAGCTCATATAATTTTCTACAAAATAAATCTCTTGATATTTTTCAGAGGGAAATCACTCGTTTACAGAACAATCGCCTAATTAACCGAGATATTACGGCCAATTTGCTGAGATATTCATGAGATAAAAAATTAATATGATAAATTGCATTGCTATGATATGTATTTAATGATAATGAAATAGTATATTTCGTAACGAGTGCAAAAAACATTTTCGTGAAAAGACCCGGTAAATCGCGATTCTAACCTCGCTTCGCTCGGTTTGATCGCGGTTTACGGGCCTTCTGACAAAAAATTGCATTCATCACACGGTCCAAATGTATTTTCTGACGAATGTGATTATAGGCCTCGCCTTCGGCTCGGCCTACAAAGCCACATTCGTCAGAAAATACTTTGTGGACCTTGTGATGAAAATAACTATTTTTCACGAGTTACGAACAATATTTTTCATTACAATGTGGCGGAAATTGGATTTTTAGGCACGCGGAGCTTGCCGAAAAGTTCACTTTTCGTCACAGCGTGATGAAAAATATCTTTCACTCATTATATTTTATTGAATTATATCCGTGATTATTACATGACAAAATGAATCCAACAACGATGAATCAAAAATCAAGTTAATGGATCTTTTGATGATTGAAATAATTTTGTGAATAAAAGAAAATCCAGTAAAAATCATCGAGTTCTTTTATGGAAAAATTAATGGTTTTGTCAATTACTAGTATTTTAATCAACTCAATGAGCCACCAAAAGCCCATAAATAGCATCTAACCTACTAAGCCTTTTATCAATAGCTAAAGATGATTGAGAACCGTCATGATCGTTTCCACGGCTTACGATCGCTTAACATTTTAATGCGTGATAATGCCTAGTATCGTGTACTTGTGCAGCTTGTCAGGCGTACATCATCGTTGTACCATGACGCCGGAGTTCACTTAACCCAAGCCAATTTGAATCCACCAGCAACTCCAACAGCGTCTCTCCAGGTATCCAGGAACGATTCGAATCACGCACAACATCCGCTCTTCACCGATTGAAAATGCAACAGTTGGCATGAAATTAATCTTACCCTTTTGTTCAAACAAACCATCAACGAGGAGAGATAAGGGAATTGAATTTAATTAGAAATTCATTTGTAGGAAATCATCGAGTTCATTATCCTGAAGAAAAACGTTAGTGTCGTTTCTGTTAGTCCAATTGTCTGGCAGAAGTCTCACTACGAAGTTATCCCTCCAAAATCTGTGCCAACGTCTCCCATGGAGCCTTCAATTGACAAGCAGGAGGGGAGAGTGTGACTTGAAAGAGATAGTTGTGGATTTTTATAGAAACTTGTACCTGTTAATGTACCTGCCTAATGTTACCAACCAACTCCAGTACGCTATTAGGGTTAAAGAACAGGTGGGAAGCATTGCGACAATCATCCAGGGAATTTCATTAAAGCCACTGTCGACGATTAGACGGAGAGCGAGGGCACATATGTAGATTGAGAATAAGGCTAGAGGAGTCGTCACCAGAAGGTAGAGGAAATCAAAGAGGACCTGAATCAAGAACGGGCGAATTCACGAAATTAATTATTGTTGGATTATTTTGGTGAAATGTCTGATTTCAGGAGGAATAACAAAAAAGATTTCTTAACATTTTCAATGAAAAATTTGTAATCGATCGATTTTTCCACTCTCTAATTTTGCTTGGAAATGACTTGTAATGTCATCAAACATCGAAATATCATGTTTTTCGAAAATCTATGCCTGTACGTCCATATGTGCGGGCAAAATTCCCAGAAATTTTTCATAAACCTTCAGAGAAAAAGGACTAAAGCTATAGGTAAAAAACTGGAATTTGCGCTTATAATTGCAATTATTTGGGGGCACACTTGGGCAAAATCTCAGCTCAATCGGTCTAATAGTTTTAGAGATACAGCGATTCCGCAAAATTTTTCTTTCCTCAATATCTCGAAAACTACTGCACCAAATGAACTTCTTTGACATCAAAATATTCCTTATGATAGTATCTATCGAATTGGACCACAATATACCTAGCTCACTAAGGTGAGTCATCCAATAATTAACATTTTTCATTTTTGAAGTCGAATTGATGCGAACATAACAAAAAAGTTGAGATAGCAAGTTGAAATTTGGTAGGATTCTAGCTTATACTGCATCACAAGCTGGTGTTTCAGATAGAAGAAATCAAATTAGTCGTTTTCAGAGATATTCAACTATTTGTATGAAACTATATTGGTCAATATCTCAAAAACTACTTGACCGATTTAATTGTTTTTTCAAAATACTCGTCAACTCCGTATAAGCGATTTTACATTTTTGGTGTTCTCTAAATTCTTTGTTCGCACAATAACTTGAGAAAAAATTGGGAAAGGAATGTGATATGAGAAAATAGTTTCTCCTGTAAATTGAAAAAGGGAATTGCTATAGATCCATTCGGAAGATTACTACCAATGGAATTGGTACAAATGAAAAATTAAAATATAAATAACACATAAAGTAACAGTCATATGCCTTCTGCAATATAGGAGCGATCAACTGCTTGTTAATGTTATATTTTCTAAAAAGTGGTAACCCAAAAACCGAACTATCACACCCGGACATACAGACATTTTCTAAAAACATCATTTCTTCACGTTTCATACCATTGTACATCATTTCCAGGCAAAATTGGAGAATGTCAAAATCCGACGAATACCATGCTTCCATTCGGAAGCAAAAACACTAATAAGGCAAAAAGTAACGATCACAGGCCTTTTGTCGCCACTAGGCGCCATGTATCTGTTGTTTCTTCATTCCCAATCATGAGAAAGGTAACTCCTTTCGATTTTCTCTTTTTTTCTAGCATTTAATAACGTTAAAAAAAGGTTTTTAGTCGCTCTCGAGTAGTTTTTAGTAGCACTCACAAGAGACTTTTATTTAGGCATCCTGAAAAACTGAGCACAAGGAGGAAATCGGAAAAATTGATTTGTTTATCATCTATCCAAAACTGAAAAAAGAAATGATACAAAATTTTCTTTTTCATGTCTATTGAGCTCTTTTAAATTGGAAACCTGAAAAAGAGGTTCTATCATGAAATAGAGCAAAATGGACTGAATTCTACGAGTTTCCTACTTTTTTGGATGTTCTATCTGAAACGAAAAATCACTGACTTTCAACTTTCAGGACGGTTCCCCCTTAATAGTTTCATCTCAAGACATCAAGAGCGAATTTGTTCACTTGAAAGTTTTCTTGAAATTTTTCCGTAAAATCGCCAAATTTCTAAACAATGACCAAATTGGTCATTTTTAGAATGATGAAAATAAAAAAGAAATATGGGAAGAACCTGTCGTGTCGCAATGACAGTATTGAACCAGATCCATGCGCTCTTGCACACCCCATGTCTCGGTACTTTCTTGGTGAGGTACTTGTAGCCGCAGAGCTCGCATCTGACATGACCAGACTCGGTAAGCCACCTCTCCAGACACTCGACATGAACAAGTGCAACTGTACCACGACACCTTAATATTAAGAGACAATTATGAGGATTCCATAATAGCGGTGATGGGAGATGATCTTCAACGCCGATTAACTAACTTGCAGGCTGATATCAAGGGTCCGAGATAAGCGTATGAGGAAAGAGTGGATGTCTGGCTATCATTTCTGTGGGGCTGCTGTTGCTTCGGCCACTCCCACAAGGGACGTGATACTGCAACCGCTGGGAAACCACCCATGTGACAAATTCTGCAGATGTCTCCTGTTGATAGTTGAGACTCGTCTGAAATAATTGATTTCCTCAGCTGAATGCAATGGAATCAGTCTTGCCTTTAAATTTAAGTGGTGGAGAATTTATATTCAGTAGATATAGGAATTTTAGACATTATGAGTAAAGTTAATCGTCAAGCATTCGGGGGAATATGATCGATCCAATACTAGTGGCTGGAGCAATAAAAAACGTTCATCCCTAGAATATGGGAAAGCTTCAAAAAGTCTCGATAGGATTATGCATATTATATTATTATGTGAAAAAATTACATTCTACTAAATTTAACATTTCTTCAAAAATGACTACGTCAATGCATTCCATGACTGGACGAATGCCAACAATGGACGATTCCTCTTATATCGTTCCTGATATACGAGGAATCGCTACAGTCCTGGCTGACTGAGAATTTTACAATAGAAAAGACACAATTAAGAATATGTTTTGAATAAGATGGAACATGAATTTTCTTGCAGCTCCCACTCCTCTCCACAAGCGTTGGTACGACATTTTTCCTATTCTCCTTAGATTCCGAGATAGCCGAATCAAGTGAAGCAGTTCAATTCCTACTCTAGTGAATTATGTAACTATTTAGTAAATGAGTGATTTCAGCAGAAAATTTTCCAGGCATGAGATTTCACATATCTTGGTGAAATCACATAGGTATGAGATTGCAGCAATTGAAAAGTTGTGAAGTTATTTTTTTTCTCCAGAAAAAAAGAACTCACCATCACCGTATTTTAAGGAGATGATTGACTTTTTCTTGTCTCCATCCTTCCACTCGTCCTCTATACCTACTAATCAAACCGAATTACATTACGACGGTTAAAAAGTGTATTTTTATTCATAACTAACCTGTTTCGATCGGATTGCTTGCATTCCCATGAATTTCCAGCTCGTTTGACATCAATGAGTCCTGTCTTTTCCCATTACTCAATTCTTTTAGTCATTTTTTAAATTTCAATTTTTGCAAGGTCTCAAACTGGACAATTTTTAATTATTTATCTAAAATCAGTAGTGAGGGACTCACTTCATACCGAATTAATTGGTTTCGGAAAAACAAAAGAAGAACAACAAACGAGAAAAAATAATTATTCAACTGAAAGCACTGTGTTTGAAGAGTCGAGCGACCGCTCCTTCTACAACTATTTCAATTATCGAAATTCATTGGTATACACTCATAAGTAGGGCTGGGTACTTGGCGTAAGGAAATGTACAGTATTGTTGGAGAACAATTGAGAAGAGGGAATTCGGAAGCAATTTTCTAACACGAAACAAGAAAAAGTTGGCATCTATCGTTGTGAAGTTGCTGAAGAAGGAAAATAAAAAAAAAGAAGAGTGAATTGATTATTATTATGGAAAACAAGGGTGAGGGGATAAAATGATAACATGAAAAAATAGGTAAAGAGATGGCGCTGTGATGGTTTATTTCTTTTATGGATGGAAAGTATGGCTAAGGGAACATAGGTGGAATTTTCGGAAGGGATTTTTTGGGGTTCTGCCACGACCACGACCAGTGTAGCTTCTTGAGAGGTGATTTTTCGAGTTTCTCTTTGGGATTGATTGAGGGGGACTTCTAGAGGGAGTTCTTGGGATTTTTGAGAGCATTCCCTCAGGTTCTTCTTAGGACTGATTGAAAAGGATTGGTAGAGGGTGGTTTTTGATATTTTCGAAGGGCATTTCCTGAGGGTCTTCTTGGGATTGATTGAGGGAGATTGGTAGAACGAGGTTTTTGGGATATTTGAAAGGTATTCCCTGGGTTTCATCTTGGGATTGATTGAGGGGGATTGCTAGAGGGAGCTTTTTGGGATTTTTGAAGGGCATTTCATCATTTTATCCTCTATTATAAATCAGATAGGTTGCGTGAAAAATGAGAAAATGAAATTGATCATGAGACCATGAATTCTTAAGAGAAATATAAGAAGAATAATCCTAAGCGGAAATCGCAAAAACACTTCAGAAGAAATCGTACAACAAATCCGGGAATTTTCCAGTAGTCTGAAATGAAAAATCCCTTCAAAAATTGCAGAAACCTCCCTCTAGCCATATCCTAAGGACAGACCTAGGAAATGCCCTTCAAAAATTCCAAAAACCTCTTTCTAGCAATCCCCCTCAATCAATCCCAAGAAGAACCTCAGGAAATGCTTTTCGAAAATCTCAAAAACCGCCCTCTACCAATCCCCTTCAATCAGTCCCAAGAAGAACCTCAGGAATTGCCCTTCGAAAATATCAAAAACCGCCCTCTACCAATCCCCTTCAATCAGTCCCAAGAAGAACCTCAGGAATTGCCCTTCGAAAATATCAAAAACCGCCCTCTACCAATCCCCTTCAATCAGTCCCAAGAAGAACCTCAGGAATTGCCCTTCGAAAATATCAAAAACCGCCCTCTACCAATCCCCTTCAATCAGTCCCAAGAAGAACCTGAGGGAATGTTGTCAAAAATTCCAAGAACTCCCTCTAGCAGTCCCCCTCTATCAATCCCAAGAAAAACCCGAGGAAATGCCCTTCAAAAATCCCAAAAAGCTCCCTCTAGCAATCCCCCTCCATCAATCCCAAAAAAAATCCCAGGAAATGCCCCTCAAAAATGCCAAAAACCTCCCTCTAGCATCCCCCTTAATCAATCCCAGGAAATGCCCTTGAAAAATCCGAAAAACCTCCCTCTAGTAATATCAATCCCAAGAAGAACCCCAGGGAATACCCTTCAAAAATCCCAAAAACCTCGTTCTAACAATCCCCAAGGAGAAACCTGAAAAATCACCTCTCAAGAAGCTACACTCCTCCTCCTAACCATATGCCTCCACCAATCCCAGGATGAATCCCACAAAAATCATGCTCGTGGCAGAACCCCAAAAATTCCACCCATGTCCCCTTAGCCATACCTTCCATTCATAAAAGAAATAAACCATCACAGCGCCATCTCTTTACCTATTTTTTCATGTCATCATTTTATCCCCTCACCCTTGTTTTCCATAATAATAATCAATTCACTCTACTTTTTTTTCTTTTCCTTCTTCAGCAAGTTCACAACGAGACATGCCAACTTTTTTTTGTTTCGTGTTAGAGAATTGCTTCCGAATTCCCTCCCCTCAATTGTTCTCGAACAATACTGCACATTTCCTTACGCCAAGTACCCGGCCCTACTCATAAGGTTCAAGGCTACCAAGGACTATCCATTTTTACTTCATTTTTTCGACTTACGGATTTATATCGGGCTAGTTATAATAATGACTAGAAATAAGAATTTCATTGTCGTTCTGATGTAATTTCTGTGTCTGTGTCCATATGCATGCATATGCATGCGAACCAAATTGGTCCATTTCTCTCGACAAACGTGATTTGATTGAATGTTTGATTGAATGCTCAGTAGGGCTGCGCATGAGACCGGGACTAGTCTCGGTCTCGTCTCGAAAAACCGAGGCGAGACCGAGTAGTGATGCGTCGAGACTATTCGAGAATTATTTTGAAGAGATCAGTACGGTCTGGAATAACATCGAAAGTTTTGGAATCGTCGCAATCTCGGAAGACATTGAATCCGTGCATCTCGTCACAATTCCGGGAAAATTTATCTTGCCTGGATCTCGAGATTTTCGGTTTTTCAAGTTCAGAAGACGAGACGAGACAGATATCGAAACAAACATTTCAAAAAAAGAAAATACTGAAACTCAGACATGACGGATTCTTCCAAGTTCGTGACGAGATGCACCGATCTAATGCCTTTCGAGATTATGATGATTCCTAAACTTTCGATGTTTTTTAGACCGTGATGGTCTTTCCAAAATAATTCTCGTCTAGTCTCGACGGCATCACTAAAACCGAGACGATACCACGGTAAAATCTCTGAGACAAGATCGAGACGATACCGACGGATAACAGAGACGATATCGCCGGGGAACCAAGAGTCTCGCCAAAACTTTCGACATGAGTCGCGGTTTTGTTTCAATTTCCCCACCCGAAGGGAAGAAGTTATTGTAATGACCCCGAAAATCAAATGGGGAATTTCCATGCTTTGTCCAAGTTTTTTGACGTTTCAAATCATCCTGACAAATTTTTAAAGACATCCCTGTGTGTGCGTTTGTGTGTACGTATATGTCAAAATTTAGTCCAACAATGGCTCCTGAACGAATGAAGTGATTTTTTGCAATCGATGAGACTTTATACAACTTATTGTTAGAATTGATTAGTTTATGAAAACGATCGCTTCAGGAATTCTTCAGTTATTCGCGTAAAACTTGTGAAGAAATATCAGAAAAAGATAAGTTTTTGATAATTCAATAAGTTTGCCCAGAAAAATCATCGGATTGGAATTTTTCTATTGCAGTCGATGCACCTTTACGTATCTTAATTCTGATAGGATGTTAAGCGACATTGTCTCCGCAGTCTTGGGCTTTTCGGGTTTCTCATCTTATGCTGAAAAGCGTTAAAGAAATAAAGGTGTCTTTTGAAAAACCATGTTTCCTCTTCTCGTAAGAATAGATCAACATAATAACGAGACGAGACTGAAACGAGACCGAGAGGAGACCGAGACGAGACATATATTTTTGATAGCGAAACGGGACCGAGACCGAAACCGAGACTAACATGTTACAAAACGAGACGAGACGATACCATGTCGGTCAGTAGCGAGACCATACCGAGACGATATTGAAATTTTCAATTTTTTCCGAGATCAAGCTAAGACTTTTCAAAATCTCATCTCGCCGTGTGCGCAGCCCTAATGCTGCGCGAAATCGTCTCATCGGTTCTTGCATTATTTGGATAAAACCTTTGGTTTTTTCCAATGAATGAATAATAAACTGATTGGGAAATTGTTAGCTCGACTTGAGCGAACACAGCGAGTGATTCACAACCGATCCTAATTTCTGTTGCATGAAATTAGTCTGTTGTAAAACTTAGAATGTAAGCACATTTATGAGGTTATCTAACAGTAGCGAATTAATTGTTTACAATTATGTATGAAACAAGTAGATAATCGCATTTTCTGTATATGGGTACAGTTTATATTGCTAACAAATGAGCAATATGCTTCCGACTGGATTCTCTATTTTTGAAATTTATTACTCTAATTGCTTCCGAGTGGAAGCTTTGTAGACGGAGAGAAATTTTTTAGAAAAATTATAGTGCTAGCACGGGAAAAGAGGCGCAAATTGACGGCCAGAAAAAAATTCCAGTGACGGCACTAGAAATTTTATTGGGGAAAAAGTGAATTGTTCTCCGTAATTCGGTGAAAATTTCACAGAAATCCCCAGAAATTTTACCAGAAATACCAAAATTTTTTACATTAACAACACTAGATTTTTCACAGCCAGTGGAGTGCAATTTTTTCCAGTAGTCGTACTAGAATTTTTTGATAAAATTTCTCTCCGTATGATTGTTCAAAATTAAGTTTCCAAATTTTTGGGTCAGGGTAACTAAATATGGTCTAAAAAGTCTAAATATGCGATTTTTAGATGGTGTCTGTATGTGTCTGTATGTATATGTATGTTTTTTTTTCCTCCGGGGTCTTGAGGCGAAATATACCTAACCGCACGATAGTGGACAGTAACATGGCGGTTACTGTCACACCCTGTGTGGGGCCCTCACCCACTAAAACCACTTGACCGCGGGAATTTGTCGACCGTACTTTTCTTCGCGGCACCACCGTTAAGTATTACTTCGTGAGGGAGGTCTCAGCTGTTTGCTCTTCCACACTGCATTAATCTAATGTACGTTCTCCTGCCCTACTAGGATGTAGGATGTGAGCAGGAGGTTCCAGTAGATTCTTCGCTTATTCTACAGCTTTGCACTTGCATTCCTCACTTCTGAGCTCCCTCATGACTTCTGCCGCGAAGTCGCTCGTTGTGTCCCAGGCTGCCTGTTATGACAGCAACGCTTCCATCAGGTTCCCCGACGACACCTGCCTTCCAAGTG